TTAAATGGATGGTATCTTGCTATGTCTAGATTATCAATGTTTAATGTAAACAAATACACAGAACATAAATACTGAGAGCAATTAAGCAGCAAATCAGGAATTCAGATCTTTGAGATCTATGCTTTAAAGACACTTGGAAGAACTCGGTATTATTCTTTCTGGAAATTGTTTTAAAGTATATTGCAAGGAGACAAAGTTAATCATATCCTTAAATCCTTTGGAAATAGAGTAGGTTTCAGAGTTTAAAAAAGCACTGTAGTGGTATTGTGAGAAGCAACATTAATAGGGTTACAATCCCTCTCAGTTTTTGAAGTCATGCTCCCAATGCTACATACACAGGTGTGCTCCTACCTTTTACATTTTGGAAAAACATTGAGTCTACCAAACAGTATATTTGAAGTCAATATGTCCATAACCAAAGAAGTTCCAGTCATATGCACACATGAAGCAGCAGAAAAAGCTTTAAAAATTGGACTTGCTAAATTTTAAAAGTCAAGCCAATTTTTAAAGCTTGACTTTAAACACATAAGAGTCCCTCACTTCTCCTCTAACATTCACCTGCCCTCAAAAAGACGGAGGGGGTTTTAAGACAAAAATCTTTTTTCCCCTTATTTAAAATCTATACTTCTTGTTCAACTTAAAAACAGGGACAAAATTAAACTTTTCTTAATGAAAAAACTACTGGTTATATGCACTACAAACATCAACAAGTACTAAAAACATCTTCTAGATTTCACGGTCCAGTTGTCTGATCCAGAATACTAATTTGTATAATGTACAATGTATAAACAAAGTGAAACTGCACTGTAGAAATCTGAAATGCAATCTCGACAGTTCTTAATTTACCTCTTAGGGCCCAAATCAGGAGCTGAGATCTGCACTCCATGCTCTTCTTTTGGGTATAGCAGACTCAAGTTGTGGAAACTTCGCTGAGACAGAATAAACTATTTCTATACATAAAATAAAATAATGTGAATTAAATATATCTGATCTTGTTTTCCCTTATATCTAGCGCTCCTGGAAAGCTATGTCAAAATTTGCATTCAAGATGCTGACCAGTAATGTACGTTTTAACTTACTGTGGCAAATAGAACTTTGTGCCATATGGCTGATTAGAGATATTCTCTCTCTTTTTCTTCTCCTCTAAACAGCTGGGTGAGTAACAACAAGCAAAAGACAGTCAGCAGCTGCACACTGTTATCATTACTTTGATACTGCTTGAAGGAATCTAAGCCTTCCACAGGTATGCACCTGAGATTAGAGGCAAAGAATTTTCCTCTCTAAATATGAGAGGAAGCAGCTATGGGAGTTATAATTATGTTTTACAGGTGTCATCAGAACAATGCTTCCAAATTTTACCCAGAACAAACATACTCTTTTTCTATTTTGTGATTGAATTTTTCAAAGACCTTCAGGGAAAAGATATTATTGTACAAAGGCAACAACAGTGAGTAAATAAGTATAAAGGCAAACACTTCTATTGCAGACTTCCCAACTTTATCTATTTCACCCATGCAACTTCAGTAGTTATCCAATAGGATCTGCAAACAGAGCATTAACCGTTCAAGCTCTGTGTTTGATTACTGTCTACCAGGGATTCCCAAGCTGGAATTCCACTGCACCCCCCACAGCTGGCAGAGCCCTTGTTGGTAATCAGAGGACAATTAATGAGCCACGTGGCTCTGGCTCCTCATAAGTCAAAAGATATTTGGAAAGGATAATGGCTGTAGGAACTTCACCTAATATTACTTTCTGTGCAACCAGTGTTTTAGTGGCCACAGGAATGCCTGATCTGGAAGAGTATCAACTGCAGCTAAGTGGGAACAGGGAACTTGAAACAACAGGTGGGACATGTTGCATAAGTAAGGAAAACTATGGACACCCCCCTGGGCCACACAGCACAGCTTCCCTTCCAGCATCCCATCTGAAGGGGAGTGTAATTCATAGCTCTGAGGGGTAATGCATTTTAAGTCTTCCATTGCTGTTTTATTATAAGTAAAAAAACCCCCACAAACTACCACAATCATAAAGATGTTTATGAGACAACTGCAGTCAGGTTACCCCTTCTCCCTGAGGAAAGGGACCCCACCTGTGGAGGAAAACAAAGCAAACACACTTTTTTCAGTTTTCTCCTACAGGGGTTGGGGTTTGGAGATGATCAGGAGAATTTTTTCGGCATCTTTGGATGTTGGTTCTTCCTTCTACGTTAAATAAGTGCATGGCAGGAATATTAGCCAGAACAGTACAATTAAGAGAAAAATACACTATCTGTAAGAAAAGCTAATCTTTTTTTTTTTTTTTTGCATGGTATGTTTACACTTACAAAGACTTGAGGCTAATTCTCCTCCAGTCATCATACTAAAACTCACCACTAGAGCTATGTAATCAGTCACATGATTAAGAATTTTGGAAGTTCATAATAAATGATGTGTGAAACAGCACAAATCAAAGTAATACTTGCACAGATTTCACAAGCAACTATATTGTGATCTTTTCTCATGTAACTCATGAATAGGAAAATAAAATCCATTGGGTATATAAGGTTTCCAACTAATCAGGGAATGACAATTACAGCACTAATTGTGGTCTTTGTGAATACTGAAGGTCTTTTTCATGCACACACATACATTTTCTGGACAGAAACCACCCTTTTATTGTTGGAAAGCACCTAGAAATCTCTGGACACTACTCTACCAGCAGCTGTGTTATTTTTCTTTAAGTTTAAATTATTGCACATGGCTATCGTTGCTAGGTAGGACTTGGCTTCCAGCATTGTAACAGTGATGGCTGAAGTCTGGGCTGGACTATGAAACAAGCAAAAATTCAGAGGTGAAAATTACCTCTGTGGGGGTGGCTTGCATTTGTTAATGCCTTTTTAAAATTATCTTGGATATCTGCTTGAGCAAGGTATTGCCAGTCTCTGCTCTCCAGGCATCCTAGCACTTGTACTCTTGTTGCTTTCAAGTTCAGTGTCACCAAGATACTTTCAGGCAACAGATCATCTAATGAAGAACAATATGATGTCAGTGTGTAATGACTTCTTGAGAAAAAGAGTGATGTTATTCAGCAATACAAAGAGACAGTCTCACTTTCTTCTCAGATAAACAACTTCGTAATGAAAGATTGTTTAGAGGTAAAGAAAAACTGAAGGAAATTTAAAGGGGCATAGCAGCCTGTGTGTTAAAAAAACCCAAACACCCACATTTTAAATATTAATAACAGACAGAGCCACTGATTCCATTTCTATTGACAGGAAATTAAAAAATAAACAAATAAAAATTCAGATGAGGATTTAGAAAAACATTATCCAGTGACAGACACCAAAGAAAGGAGTATTTCACAAAACACAACATTTACAGAAAAGCAGTCAAAATCATCACTGTGCTCACGTTTGGCTCCAAATTGCTGCTGTAAACTCACATCTGATGTAACTGATTAAAACATAGTAGATGGCACTGGTATACCAAGCAGAACTAGAAGTTTTAAACTACAAACGCTACAAGAGCGTACCTTGATATCTACACAATTCACACCAGTCAAGCAGTATCAGGAAGGCTTGAAGTGTACCTGCCTTACATTTCTTCCTAGTCTAAGTCCAAAAAAAGTGCGAAAAAGTGTTAAACATCTGTACTGTAAATGCAAATCAGGTCCAAAACCCTAAAAATCTGTGTATCTTTAGTTCACTAATGCCACCAGTACTCCACGTGCAGCAAAAAGATGGTCATTACAAAAAGATGCCATGAGCAATTTTTAAATAGAATCCATTTACATTTACCAGAATCTTACTGCTAGTCTTGGTTTGTTGTTTTTTGGGGTTTTTTTTCCTAATAGTGCTAAATAGTCACTTGGGAAAGCCTGTTATGTACAAGCAATGCACACACAAGCTTAATTCTTCAGCAACTTCAGACAGGAGTGTAAAATGCAAGCTGGAGTCCAAAGGCAAGGAGGTAGAGCTCTAGTAAATCTGATGCAAAGCCTAATCCGTCTTTTGTCTGTACAGTCTGTGGAATATTTGAAAGGGAAGCAAATACACGAGCAAACATTGCATGTTACTTGTCTCAAGGGAAGTTCCGAATTTCTGTTCACCGACCCAAACACAGATAATCAAAGGGAAGACCTTATATACCAAAAACTTCAGAGCAGGTCACCTATTTGTCCATATCTCTCCTCACATATAGGTTGCATTCCAGTTTATCAGCAGGCTATGCTATAAAAGAGTCTAAGAAAATAGTAGATGCAATATTTACACCAGCAAAAACTATTTCTAATGCTAGTTCTGTGCACGCTCTCTTTCAGCATGCAACGGAGTAGATGGACAGCTTTTGTGGTTTCCTATCACTCTGAAGCACAGTGCCTCTTTCCTGGTGCACAGTCTTGCAAGTTTTTAGAGCAGTGACATTCCTGCTGCTGGCACTGTCACAGGCCAACAAGCCCGGTTAGCTCAGTGCTAACGCCTACTGAGCTCGATCACCGGTGTGAGACGGGGTCGCACTGACAAAATACCATACACAAACCTGGAAGACTCTTAGTTCACACTCTTGCCCTTCTAATTTATACTTCAAAAGATAATAATAACTGGTATTAGAACAGGGAATGACTCTATTCTTACTTCACTATCACTTCTGACACGGTAACAGAAAATGAAATAATAAAATATATAAAAGAAACACCTACACAATAACTATTACATGCTCAACAGCAAATGGTCAGAACTGTACAGTGTTGCTTTAAGACAGTGAAGAGTTAATGAGACTGGTTGAGAAAAACATGAGCTGGGCCTCTTACTTATCTTGCACCTGGCTTGAGCAAGACCTCAGAGGTCTCATGGCCCAATGTTGTTGCAGTGAGGCACAGGAGAACATCAAGCCTCAGCACCAACCAATAGCCACACTCCCTTCACTGTGAAAAACAACACTTGTTATAAATCTGTTTCGTTAAGGAGATAAGGATGTGCACAAAGAGCCTCTGATGAAGGTCAGAGAGCCTTTACTGCCGCCTCAGTACGTGGAGGAGGAGGGCCAAAGTGTTTATTCTACCTCTTTTCTCAATTATAAATTCTGACTGAGTAACAGAGACTCTCATTAAGCTCCATTAACATATTAACTTACACATCCCTTGGGATTCAAAAGAAGGAGAACATGGGATCTACGACACATATATGACCAAAGTCACCAAAACCCATCATAACACGAGATTGTTTCATCCCCTTGGAACAGACCAAAACTTATAGTATAAAAGGGGAGCTTCGGGGCAGAACAGGCCAGAAGAGAAAAAACCTTTGGAGGAGGAAAACACCTTTGGAGAGGGAAACCACCTCTGGAAGGGGAAAACACCTCTAGAAGGGGAAAACACCTCTAGAATGCGAAAACACCTCTGAAGGGGGAAAGCATCTCTGCCTGCTCAGGATTTGTCAACAGACTGTCTCTCTTTCTCTCCTGAAGGGACGCCTTTAGGTGAGTTTTGTGCCTCCAACTGTGTTGGAGTATACCCGGGAATATTCATCATATATATATATGTGTATATATATATATATATATAGTGCTATTAGAATCTGTCTCACTGTACTTTCTGCTGCAGCACACATCAACACTCTGTAGCCAGTGCATTTATCACCAGCAATCCTGAACCTGCTTTCCTGTTGCTTCAATAAACCTTCAATACACATTCATGAATCTGGATCATGAAAAGTCCTTATTGAACAAGATCAGATCTATATTCCTGGATTGATAACTGCACTGCTTCTGCATCTGTGCTCATGTAAGTTCTTCTTTTGAACTCGACCAGCCCTATAGGGATTATTGACTATAATCAGAAATTAAGCCCAGCCACACCCAGCCCCTCTGATCTCTGAGGACCAGCTGGACTTTAAGGGGGTTTGTTTTCTGCTGAATACCCATACCCTTAATGCAACAACACTCATCCTTCCACAGTATAAATGTCAACTGATGTTTGAGAAAGAGTCCACCTGTCCCACAATTTCTTCATTCAGGAGCCAGATTAGAAGGACACTCGTTTTCTGATGGTATCCTAAAAGTAAAAAGCTTATGCCTTCAAGGTTTGAGTACAGTTGCAACCTATTTCATTTAATCCTCTGTCTTCAGTATGATTTCACATGTGCAGCTGAGAACCAGTTTTATGCATTTGATTAAATATAATTAAAAATATGACTAAAGAAGCCACTTTCTCTACTAAATATAAGGAAATTACATAAACGAATCAGCTCAAATGTGGTTTTCTTTGTTTCATTTTCATTCAAGAATTTACAGAATTATTTTAAATTGATCTGATGACTCTCACATTGTTTCTGTTATACTACCTACTCATCAGTGACTGTTACTGAATAGAACCCAGTGTCTGAAATGGTCACTATTAAAGAGTCTGCCCTACTTAATTTTTTTAAAAACTGACCTTTGGTATATTTATTCTCAATACAGTAATCTTAATTTTGTTTTTGGTTTCTCTCCTATGGACTTTTCTACAAGCACAGTAACAATGAAAACAGTTTGAAACACTACTTCCTCTACTTGCCAAAATTTACTCTGCAGTTTAAGAAAGTCCTGCTACCTAAAGTCTGGTATTTTCTTTGGCTATGGAATCTTTTGAAATTCTGACTAGAGCTGTGAAAACCCCCATGATGAATAAGCACAGTAGTGCAGTGTGTTGAGGATTTAACTTCAAAAAGCTTCGCATGTTTTCTAGGCTCACTAGCCTCATCAAGCTAAATTCAAGTCAGCAGTGCTGTTCAAACATGTCAGGAAGTAAAAAAATACAAAAATGTTTAATCAATCAGAATTCTTTCAACAGAAGGACTGTGAACTTAATGCCAGTCAAGGGCAGAAAATAGCTAAAAGCCTAGTAAAACAACAACTGGATCACACACTCACCTACCTTGTAATTGTGGTGTCTGAACATACAGCTGGGCATCCTTCTTCCACTGTAAAAAGTTATACTTTGTAAACACCATAAACTGCACATTTTATACTACGAAAAGTTTTAGTTCTGGCCAAATTTGGCTGATAAAAGATCATGTCATGTAATTTTGGGGAAAAACAATATAAAACTAGTGCCCTACACACTCTGATTCTCCATTGCTTTGCACAATCGTTTGTATTTTTGCAAAACACACGTAAATTAGCACAAAGTGCTACTATTCTGATGTGTCTTTATTTCCTTCTGTTAGGGGAACAGGTTAAAAGCAGAAGACTGGAGGGAAAGACTGTAAATCACCTTGCAGCTGGGAATAACCCTTGATAAACCAGTGTGAACAGCAGCCAGTGATCCTGTGGTCTGGACTGAGTTTAACGGTGCCTCTGTCCCTGCTCATGTGCCTCTGCCTGGGCGTTGCTTCAGGGATCCCCCCGTTAGTGAGGTAACAGAAATAAATTTACTCTTTGTGTTCTAGCCAGAGTTTGTGTCTGTCCCTGCTGCCTGCCTGTGCCGACTTACACACAGATCCAGGAGCAACCATGCCATGGCTAGCCAAAAAATCAAAAAAGCTGAGAAAGCCGAAAAAGCTGAAAAAGTCGGGGCCTGGGGAGGCTGTGATGGTGAACCCCAACATTCCAGGATGGCCCAGTACTGAGCGCTGGACCCCCGTGGCCACTTTCCTGGCTACAATGGCCACTCCAGAGACATGGCCTGAAATAGATGACGGGGTGGTGGTGAACCCCCACAGGGTCGAGGTTGCCATGCGCGGATTGCCGTGGAAAGCGGCATCAAAGTCCTCCCGCAAGCTAGCAGGGAGACTGGGATGGCTGTTGGCTACTGGTCTCAGAGCTCTAGACCGTGAAGTCATAGCCCTGCAGAGTAAAGTGAGCGAGCTGGAACTACTCACCTACGCCAGAGCTCGCGACTGTGAAGCCATAGCACTGCAGAGCAAAGTGAGGGAGCTGGAATTGGTTACCTACGCTAGAGCTCTCGAACGGGAAGTTACAGCGCTGCTGAGTAAAGTGAGAGAGCTGGAAAAGGAAGTTGTGACTTTACAGGCTGCAAACGTGATCGCTCATGAAGTCACTACCACTCAAGCAGAGCAGTGCTATGAGCAGCAATGCACTATACAGCAGCTGGTGTCACCTAGGCATAAATATGTGGAAAATAAGGTTTTGATCTCCCAGGTTCGTGCTCCAACTTTGAAAACTTCACGGGATCCCAAGGAATGGGATGGAAATATCTGGAGTGAGTACTCAGATTTTGAGATTGAGATTTAGTCAGAGTTAGCAGACAGGGATGTGGTATAGATCACACATACTTATACTCCAAAAGAGTTTCAATTATCCACTCCTAGACAAGGAAATCCTTTTGAATTAGAAGTAATAATTCTAGATGATATAGCCTTGTGGGGATTGAGGCAGATGAATGGACCAAAAGATAAAAAAAATCTGTAGAATTTTGGTCCAAGGCATTCCAAGGCACTGCTATCTATTTTACCCCAATGGGAAAATTAATTCAAAATACAGCTTGGACACTGCAAGAATCACAGGCCAAGATAGTGTGACTGTACACCTTCAGTACGAAACACAGTGAGGACCAAAAATCCTCCAGATAGTGTCTCTCCCAAAATATTAGCCAAAGGGAAATGGAATTTTACACCAATGGATCCTACAACCTATTAATCTAGATGTGACCATTCGTATAATAACCCCTGACAATACAGTATGGTTCTGTACTCTGTCTATTCCCCTTTATTCTCCATCCTCTGTTAATATCATATTCTCAAGTTCTTGTATTTCATGTGTCTTTGATGATTTCCTGTGCATTATCTAGGGGGGGGTGCATTGGAACTCTGTTATTGGTGTCACAAACCCAACATCCAAACAAAATTCAATCTGAAAAAGGGCAAGCCACACGTCTCCAATCTGTGTGGGCAATTACCCCATCTCAAGTTACCAAGCCTGGAGCAATATTAGCTGAAGGAGCTGGAGCAACAGCATATGTGTTACAGGACAGAGATAACACTCTTCTTTTCCTCCCTTACCACAGGCTGGCTTCTTGTGCTTTGTAGGCTTGTACCATGACAGCATATCTTATATACATTTCTGCAAAATCAATATGTAAATACTTGTGTGTGGTTGTTTTTTACTGTAACTAATGTCTTATTATTCTTTCTGAGAAGTGACTATAGACCAGCTGGCTTGTGCCCTCGTGGCAAGGTTTAACTGGGACATCCAAGGCAGCTGTTGCCTTAAATTTGGGAGTAACTGCTGTATACCTTACAGCATCGATTACTGATGAGCTACGTCGCCCTTCAACATCATAAATGCTGTTCTGAGTTTGAAGGCATGTGTTGCTTTGACCTGCAGAACCAGTTGGCATGGAGGATATCATTCAAGATCTTCAGGACTACATCTAATCACACAACCTGTCGGTGGTGCCTGGTTAACTGGGTGCTTTACTTCCCTGGCAAGAGGGGTGGGACACTTAAAGCATTATATGCTTATATATTTGTTCCTTTTCCCATATGCTTCAAGTGCCTCTGCAGATCTCCTATCCCACATTTCCAGCCCCAGCAGCAGTGGTCTCTTGAGGCTGCAAGTTGGGAGGAACGGGTTAAAAAGCGGAAGACTGGCGAGGAGGACTGTAGGTGGCTCGAGTGACCTTGCAGCTGGGAATAACTCTTGATAAGCCTGTGTGAACAGCAAGCCAGGGATCCTCTGGCATGGACTGGGTTTAACGGTGCCTGCATCTCCACTAGTGCACTTCTGCCCGGGTGTTGCTTTGGGGATCCCCCAGGTAGTGAGGTAATAGAAATAAATTTACTCTTTGCATTCTAGTCCTGGGTTTGTGGTCCTCTTGGTTGCCTGCCCGTGCCAACTCACACACCTACCCACTGTGCAGAGGTGTCAGTGATGTCACACTGTGCATGGGAGTAGAAAATCAGGCCCCACATTCTCTGAAGATACATTAGCACAGGCTCCTGTGAAAGGATAAGCAAGGACACTAAAACCACTGAGGAAAAGAACAATAATGTTTTCAATTGATAATGCTATACATGTTCTTAGTAATGAGTCTCTCTCTCAACTCACTCTAAGTAAAGCAATTGGCATGTTCTTTAGATAGAGCAACAGTACAAATACAGCTGTGTATATCTGACACACAAGCGTTTGATTTTGGACTTGCTGAATGTTCAGATAGTTGATGAGATCACTTCAGTGTTGCTGCATATAAAAAGCAAGGTATCTGTAGCATGCCTAATTCTGATACTTATCACTCTCCTCAATAAACTGGGAACCTGCACCAGGGTCACTCCTGTGCACCTTTTCTTGCCCTAAGATACATTTGCAAAAAATTGCTATTCACCACAGGGAGCTGGGAGGAGAATGCCTGGGAATTGATGGGCATCAATTGTACCCACAGCTGTGAGTTCTTCAGTTTCTGGCTGCTGCAAACGTACTTTCAGGTCTTTTCACAGTTCTTTCAGGGCAAAAGAAATGGAGACTATTCCTTGGTGTTATTTCAGCAGTTTCACTGCCTTCGATTTCTCTCTCCATGTTCAGACAGCTACTGAACCTGTCACCCATATAAAGACAGAGCAGAACACAAAAGATAGCACAATCCTACCATCAGACACTCTTAAATATAGACAAAGTTGCTGTGTCAAGATTTAATATAAAAGCTAGTGTATGTGATGTTTTGGTAGATAGGCATAGTATTTTCCTACCTTTCCTATGTCAGGATTTCACAGCTACCTCTCTGCTATTGCATTGCCCAAGTCATATGTCCTTGTCCTTTTAGTGTCAATGAAAGTGAGTTTGACTTTCATTGCAAAGTATCAGTATGTTCAATGATAAGACTTAAAAGAAACTGCCGAAGAGACAGCAATAGAAAGTGTTCTGCATTTGTCCACTACTACTGCTTGTCTTTTCAGTAACATTCACTTTCATTCCTTATCCCTCTTTCAAAGTTCATTATAATTACACTATAGTGGTCACATCCAAAAAGTCAGCATTTACACATAGGGACTAAATAGTGGCATCTAAGAAACCACGGTATTATTTTCACACAGAGTAGGAAATAACTGTGGTGACCTTGATACCATTGAGTGGTAAATGTGGTTCTATGTTGCCTTAATGTTCTTCACTGTACTGGCACCATAACTGTTTTAAGAAAACAAATAAAATTATAGAATTATAGGATACTTGATAAACTCCTCCCCTTCAGAATTCAGTGCCTACTTTTTCAGTGACAGAATAACAAGGAATATATTAATCATACCAGATATCTACTTGATTAAAGATATATGCAGACATATAAAACCACATATTTAGTTCCATAAGATTAAAATAAAGGCTCTGGAATATACAAGAGAACAGTAACTGTCAACTTTCACTTTGCAATTTTTCCTCTTTACATATATGGCATCCTTATACACCCATCCTTTTCCAGTTACTAATCAAAATCAAAGATGTTCTGTTCTTTCCTTGAATTCTCTACAAATTATGAAAAATGGCTGTTTGCTTTTCTTTTGTTCACAGAAAGCCTTGAATCACCTTTTGGTCTCAGTCAGATCATACCTGGTATTCCATAAATCTCCCAGGAAAGTGTGAAGTATTTAAGGTGGATGCTTAAGACATTTCAGAAAGTCTTTTTGGATTTGCTTCTGTCCCTCTCTGATTAGTTTTGTTAGATCATTAAAAGGGAAAAATATGCAGTTTTTGATAAATAGACTACTCCCCTACCTCAGTGTTAGATAAGATGTGAGTAGACCAGTTTTTAATTACGTTAGCCTATGATATATGTGGTAAGGCATTCCTAAAAATGTAATGAAGAGGTCATCTAAAACAAGACACAGCTAGAAATCAGGACAGAAATGAGCAGGAAGCACAGTTGACAGAAGTAAAACTGTATAAATCCCACTTACAGCCATTCTTATAAAGCACATTTAAAAAATAAGTAGCAGTAACTCTACTGCACATTTTGTACATTTTCTAACTAGGGGGATCCTTAACATTAACACCACAGTGTCTCTGTTGTTCTAGAAAGATCAGAAATGAGCTCAAAACCCCAGACATGGCCAAGAAGTCCTGCCCTTAACTTCTGCCTCCTACACTTTAGTTTAATATTTAAACAAGCCCCAAAGTAAGGCTGTGTCCTCTCGAGGTCTCTGGTCATGCCTGAGGACAGTGAAAGTTTAAGGTACAAAAAAATCCAGAAAGAAGTGGGAAATAGTCTAGAAATAATGAGTGTGTTTCATAGCAGAAGAAAAAGGAGTATCATTCAGGGATGAATAATTCCATGGAAGGAGCAGGGAGAGAGGGAAGAGAAGCCTGCAGAGGCCACATTGGCACTGTGGGAAAGCTGTGGTCACCCCAGCTGGGGGTTGGTAAGATCCTACCATGGCTTCTTTCCACCTAGCATGCATGCCATGCCCACCTTCCCACCTTGCTGGGGTTCAGAAGGCAGGGAGGGAGGGTCTGGGACCCTGCCAATGCCCACACCTACAAATGCCCAGCATTGCCTGTGCATCTCAGGTGGGCCTGTGCTGTGAGAGGCATTTTGGTTCTTCAGGGACTCAGGCTGTCCATGACTGAGCTCCTAGGAATGTCACACTCCGTGTGATTGCCGTGTACAAACAGAAAATACTTAGAATAATAATAACAATAAAAATAAACAGAAAATACACTGGCATATCAGCCTCTTCTTGGACCTCTGCCTAATGTCTCCTTCCCCCTCACTCACTCATATGCTAGCCTGTGAAACTGCAGCCAAGCTTCTGGGTTTTATTTAAACCCCAAAGTAACTGTCCTATAAACTTTGAGACCATCTAAACTGCAGCTAGGCTGGGCAGTAAAGTCTTTGGAAGTACAAGTAGGGAACCTTCATCTGAAATAAGGAAGAGCATTAAATTGGTACCATCAACTAGATCAAGCCACGACTAGAAAAGCTGCCACAAGTGCAGGCTGGGTTTGCTAAGGGACAAGGGTGGAGGGATACTCCACAGATGGGAACTGAGTTAGCCAAAGTCTTCTTAAATTCCACTTGAGTATCATCTGCTGATGCAGGTACAAAGCCATGAGCAGCAATGGCCCTGCCACAGGTTCTCCAGGAACCCTCAGATGCAGCTATCACACAGACATGAAATGGGTCAGAACTCATGTCTCTATTTTTTGTTCAGGAATTCTCTCTGCACCCCTCATAGAACTGGAAGAGCTACCAACTCAACTCCAAGCCAGCCTGCACAGCAGGGGCAGCAGGGAACAAGCTCAGTTCCAGCAACCACATGTGCTTGCCCTGTATCAGGACATGCTGGTAATGCTCTTTAGTTCAGCCCTAAGAAGACAAGCTTTTGTTACCAGAAAGGTTGGCTGGAGGTGTAGCCACCTCTATTTTTAAGCCCTAGAGACTTGCTTTTATACAGACCAGTAGTAATGACAAATGTCAGCTGGGAGTGACAGCAAT